TATATAAATAAAATATATAAAGTATTTAAAAACACTCAGTAGCTACACTTGAAAAACTCTTTATAGTACAGCGCTGAATGTGGGCATCCTTCACCTGTACACCCCTTCATGTGAGTGGTCAACTACATTACATCACTATAAATACCAATTATGTCTAAATGCTTATGCCTGTATGATATATGTTGGATTTTTTTTGGTGAAAAGTTAAGAGGCTTTTTGTGATTTGAGCTCTCAAGTCATAACTCTTTGGCCCTCAAAATAAAACAATGATCACTGTGAAGTGTACAATGACATAGATAAATTATAGACATATGAACTGTGCTTTAAATATGAAATTACTATGATAATTTTCATTGATCATAAATTATTTTACTGCATTTGTGTATTTCTGTGAAGACCAATAAATCTTTATTTCACCACTTGATCAAGACAGTGATGTGACCTCCACATATACTTATTTTCTTTACCTTATAATTTTCAAGCTATTTATGTGACTACCAGTCTAGTGGCAGGCCAGTCTAATGACAATATCCAAACAATGGATATTTTAAATAATGTTTTTAAGCAATCTTGTTACTTATTATTTACCTATCTATTCTAAAGAGAGTCTTTACGCTTACCATATTTCACATTATTCCATAGGCCAATCATCTTTGTCTTGACCGATGTCTCAGTGTCAGGAGTAGATCCTGCACTCTTAGACTGCTGCTTCTCTGGCCCTGAGCTGAAGTAGGACTTGATCAATGAGGCAGACATGGCCAGGGTATGGGATGGAGGCAAACTCCTCACCTTTGCACCACTTCCACTGTTTTTGTTGCCATCACTGGGCATACTGGTCTGCCCTCGGCCAGCCACAAGTTCAACACTAAGGGGTAAGTAAGTCTGCGCTCTATTAGTCTCATTCTTTGAAGCCCCTTCCACCGATGGACTTTCATTTTGGCTTAAGGAATTGCCATCAAGCTGCGGGACTGGGTCTGATGGGATGAAATTAATTTGATCTTTGACTGACATGTTTACTTCTGGTGACAATTCTGGAACAGACACACTCATGCCTCCAGCTGTCCGGACAAAGAAGTGACTCGGCTTGTGGTTGGGACTCAGAGCCTTCTTTAGTTTGACTCTTGTTGGCTTTCTTCCATCATTTGTTGCAGATCCATTCATACCCTCAGCAACATATCTTGGCTTTTGTCCGCTGGGATGATTGCGTGTTTGACTAGATTCGGTACTTTCTGTACATTCTTTGGCCATGGGAATTGGCACTACTGGTTCTTCAAAGAAGCCGCCACTTGATGACGACCTCTTGTGCTGGCGATTAGGACTACCATGCCTGCTAGCTACCGATTGTATGCTCGGCAACATCCTTCATTGGCCTTGAGGTGTGGATACACCTGATGGGGAAAAATCAGAATTGATGAGTGGAAAACAATTATGTTAATCATAATAATAATATCAATTTCAAATAGGTTAAAACTAAACAAAAAATTAAAAACATATATCTTTAAAATCCCTTTGATCACTATTTCCTAAGACTTAACTTGATGTAATGCTATGATCAATAAATAATTCTGGCATATATCAACTGTATGATCACACACATATGCAGGAATATATACACATTTTCTTTTTTTCTTAAAACAAACACCAGCCACATTAGCATTAGGGCACACAGGATCTTGAAAAATCACGGATTCAGACACTGCTGGATATCCTGATTTACGTAGATATAAAAAAGTAAATAAATCAAAAACAAAACTAAAACAAAATAAATCACAGGAGAACAAACTACCATTTGCACTTGAGTTAGTAAAGCCTGTCATCGCAAGCCAAAACATTTATGTTTGTATGAGGAACTTCACACACCCACAGCACTGGTGACAATCACAGCATTTAGTAGTGTCAAGATAAAAACTTACATGTTTACCAAGCTGCTGACTTAGGACTATTGTCTGAACTCTGTGCCCAAAGCACATACAAATGCACATCACTTGCTCCGCAGACTGACACCTTTGAGGAACACAGTGATGCATGGAAAAGAAAGGGAAAATCAACCCTCAACTAAATTCTACCAATCGTTATTTTCTAAAGAATAATTAAATCCATACTAAAAAAAAAGGAATAAACATCTGATAAATCTCATACACAACATGTCACTTTATGGTTAAGTATTTGGTTTACACCATTCCAACAGAATTACAAAGAAAAAGAAACGGAAAGAGAGAGAGAGAAAAAAAAATCTTAACAAATTTAAATCTGGTACATTACTAGATTTAGGGTCCTTCTGTAACTGGCCTCTTTTTAAACTATATATATATGTGTGTGTGTGTGTTGTGTGGTTGTGTGTGTGTGTGTGTGTGTGTGTGTGTGTGTGTGTGTGGTGTGTGTGTGGTGTGTGTGTGTGTGTGTGTGTGTGTGTGAAGCATGAATGAGTTTAAAAAAGAGGAGGAAACATTAAGAAGCTACTTAAGTAACCAACACAAGCTTAGTGATTGTTATCAAGGCCTCTGCCACAAAGAAAAAGCCTCAATCACTTTATTAGTGGCAAAGAAGAAATTGAAAACCTCCTTGGCTATTTATCTACAAGTTAGGATCATGGAGGCCACAGTGATCAACTGACACTGCACCATTATCAAGTTTTTATTAAATTAATGATTCCATCACAGTCATAGCATGCTTCAAGTTGATATGGAGAGAGCACAGAAAGGTGTCTTTTAAATATTATAACCGCAATATTCAAGCTGAGTTATAGGCACATCTGCATACAGAACATGGAACTTAACTCTTCAGTGACTGGTACAACTATAGCCGCCAGTACATAATGTTATGGAACTTAACTCTTCAGTGACTGGTACAACTATAGCTGTCAGTACATAATGTTCTATGACATATATTCATGTCATGACTCGCAATGGGTGGGCTGGCTGTGTACAGCTTAGGCCTAGCCACAAAGTCTACTGTTGAGTAATATCACATCCCCAAAAATTTAGGCCCCATCATCATAGGGTTAAGGTACCCATACTTTTGTTCTTTGCCATCATTAGTATATGAAGACTAGGAATTCCTCAAGCCAATATGCAACACTGATTCACTCAAATTGTCTTCATATGATGTTCAATCACTTTCTGAAAGAATTTTAGTAATGGGAATAGGTTTGATAGTTACTGTTTTTCTTCCAATCAGAGATTCTTTCTTCAAATTATTTGTTATCAATTATACTTACCCCACTTCATATTTGCCATTTTCTGATAATGATATTATCAACATTAAATGTTTATAACAAATGTATACTCTCATAAATAATGGCTGATGATGTCTTGAGATGATTTATTTACCTACTTAGTACCTATTTTCATAAGCATTTCCCCTCTTTTCTGCATAACAATACTCTCTATTTAGAGAGTTTTATCATAATGATACACAATATATCAATATGTTAAGAGTTATCCATTATTCATTGTGCTATATATTTGGTCCATTTTTTTGTGCTAATTAAAGATTCGCTACAAAATAAATAATAAGAAATAAGAAGGTTTATTACTAAATCTCTATCTCAATTTTTAAAGGCTGCATTCATTATATAATTTCTGATTTTGTCAGGAATATTGAACATCATAGGTCTGATTATAAAATGTGAACATACCTTGTATAAATAAATGGACGGTAACATGGATATTGTATGCAAAGAAAAAAGCTTCTTTGCTACAGTTTGAATAATTCTTAGAGTGGGTTAATGGGGTTCAAGTGATATTGTGCTGCTCCCTCTGGTAACTGCCTAGAATAAATAGCTTTGAATTCTACTAGGAAAAGTTATATATCTGTGTGAATGTGGTATTATATCATTCAAACTTGACATATAAATGAGACAATGAACATACTTTTGAAAAAGATATCTCTTAAAATCTGAATATTGTAGCAACATTCGTCTATTCCAGTTAGCAATCTCAATCCTCAAGTTAAGATGTACCACAAGACTATAACTGTAGAGCAAAAGACATTATAGACACACACTCATGACGACATTGCAAAAGAAACATAAATATAATTCAAAACACATGTGAACAAATATCAATTACAGTTCTGGCAACAACATCAATTCAACTTAATTTGACACTGGCAAATGGACTTTCACCACTAAGGTGTCTGTAATGTATAGTTGGGTATGGACTTGCAACAGTGGAATTAATGCATAAACATTTCCAAAAGCTAAGAGATAAAATGATAATATAGCCATTAAATACAATAAAAAAAAATGTCTAATAAGTGCATCAAGATTAGCTACAGAGCAGTAGTTCTTATCCTTTTTACTTTTCCTCAGGGGTCCTTTACTAAACACGTGGGATGGCAGTCCCTAATATATAGGACTATATATTACTATTGAGTACAAGAATTATCAAGAATTTCCTTTTAGCAATTATACATCAGGAATATGAAATACATGCACTACTACCCAGTTGATAAGCACTGCATCTGAACATTAAAGATTAAATGAAAATGGATAAATATGTAGAAAAAAGCACTATCATCAAACCAAACTTACTGGTGCTCAAAAAGTGGTAAATCAACCTTTCAAAATAATATCGGGCATGATAAAGCTTATAACCTCGCCTGACCATTTAGTGTCAAATAGCGAATAATTCCCAAACTATGTCTTGCTGGCATATAAGTGTTGAAGGTTTCTTGACCTTTGCTATAACATGAAGTGTAGTAACAGCTTGACAATGTAACACTGTCTCACTGGACTTAGTTTGTTTAAACTCATCACAGGAAGTTTCAAGAAGACATGGATTGAACACAATTGATATGAATGCAAGGAAAGTCTGAAAGTATCAAAAATGTTTCTAAACATTTACCTTCCAGTGGATGTGCCAACCTATACATTATTTTGTAATTCATTACAATAGGGATGCATTTGCCAGAGAAATTCCAAGTCAATTTTTTTTTTTTTTTTTTTTTTTTTTTTTTTTTTTTTTTTTTCAAGAATTTAAGTTGCCTTGACTATAGGTGCTTTCCAGCACTACCCAAGGGGGCTCCACTTCCCGCAAATACTTCACTTCACTGTCTTCACTTTGGTATGCATGGCAAGACAGAGCTGAAGCCTGAGGGCACCGAGTGGGTTAAGGCTGTGAGCAGCATTATTGTTCATGTGTGCAGATTATTTCTTGAACTACCAACTGCAACTTTTTGTCCTCTATAAGCATGTCATCTTTAATTTGCCCTATCTTAGTATGTCCGTACCATATGGGGTAATTCTTTACAGTCCCCACCTCCAAGTTAAAAAATTTATTCATCAGTCTAAGTTGCCATGACTGGGCATGCCTGACTGCCCAGACTGGAAACATTATGGTGCACACGCAGCTGGATGTAATCTTTTCTGTTTTCTGTTTGTCCTCTACAAGAATATCATCTTCAATTTGCCCTAACTTAGTGCATCCATACCACAAACTGGGCTCAATTTCAACACTAGCCCGAGTCATTGTCTAGTTAAACCAGCCATGGGCTAGCATAATGCACTACTTAGCCCAGTGGACTAGTAAAAAGTAGACAATCACAGATGATTAAACAGGTTTCACTCCAAGAAAAGAGTGGACCTGGAACTTGTTAGAGTAAGATCTTACTATGAATTCATTGATAATCTCTTACTTTAATTCAACAAGCCAGTGTTTGATAACTCTTGTATTAAAGTCAATATTGGAGCTCATAAAACTTGCTGCAGGCTAGTAAAAAAATAATATTACTAGCCAGGTGGGCTAGTTAAAAAAGTCTTAAGCACGAGGCCTGCATAAACATTAATCCCATGAATATTAACCTAATTCTTTTTCTCCTTTGGCATTAAAACTTTTTTTCTTAGTAATCCATCTTTGCAATTATTATATTTTAAAAATCATTCAAAGTGTAATATATGTAAATCTGTAATTGTTTTTCATTGAAAATGACCAAGCTCAGGAAAAAAGTCAAAAGTATTGGTAAATTGTTTACAAAATGAGTGCACCCTTTAGAAACTAAGTACCTATTACTTCAGCCAACAATCTTGGGGACAATCATGGGAATCCATAAACATCACAGTATGAACCATAATCTTCCTAACCCTAACCAGACATTGTACTTCCCAACTAAGAGATCTGCCTCAGACCCAATTATCATATACTTGGTCTCCATGCTGCTCAGACTAGAAATCTTACACGCGTGGGCAAGTTATTTTCAAGAGTCGGAAATTGTGCATTTAAATTTTCAGTTTGTCCAAAGATCCACGCTTGAGCCATTCCATGGTGTGCAGTAAACAAGTACTTTGACTACTTTGCGCATGCAACAATAAGAAAGGGAGAACTGCGCAGTAAAAAAAAAGAAAAGACTGCAACCAGCTGCATGCATGCTATGAAGTTTCCAGTCTGGAATGCAGCATTTGTCATGACCTGTTTTCATTATTTTTGACATTATTCTTTGCCTCTAGAGATTATTTTATGTATCAGTGAGTATACTTTTTCCCTTTATACGAGTATCACTATATTTTCCCCATCTTAATGCAGTACTTACATAAAAGTATACCAAATCATAATCTACATTCTACACAAATTTCTTCATATTTGCTTGGTAAGGAAATGTCACAGGTGTAAAATGTATGAATCTATCCTAATTTTCTTTTGCAAGAGTAATGGTGTTGCTACTCACTAGACCAATCCTTCCAACCTTTTTCATTTTGTGGCCCCCGACCAATATGTAATAATGTCCATTGCCCTTCAGTGTCGGTCATCTTTTCAGATTCAGTTATTACTTGTTATAACTAGTGTAATGGGGTCAGTAGCTACAGGGCAAGAACACTTTAGAGAAAGATTCCAATTTATATGCAGGTAAAGTTTAATTGTTGAATTTGGTGTCATAATTTACATATTGTTCCACGGCTCCTAGAAAGTACCCTTTGGGCCCCCTGGAGGTCATGGCCCCAAGGTTGGGAACCCACTATACTATGGTACACTAATCTATCTATCTGGTTAGTTCATTGAAAAACAATATGCAGATTCATACATATATATATAGTACCATGCATTACATTCCCTTAATTTTATGTTTCTTGCCATATTCTTAAGTAATATGTTTGATGCAGACCACTAACAGATTCTAAGCACAAGAAATGACTGCAGAAAAGCAAGGCCAATAGTGAAAGCAAATAATCACTTCCAATAAAGTCAACAAATATGGTTGGCTAAAAATACAATTAATATCTAAACAAAATCTAGACTAAAATCCAGGTTTCTCTTACCCTCCATCTATTTCCCTCTCCACAAGATAAAATGATAAATAAGACCATATACTTTTATCTATAAATACATAAAAAAAATACGTCAAAATTACCTGAATCGCAGACGGAAGGGACAAAACCAGCGTAAATAACAACACAAACCGACGTACTACGACCCAAGAAATGAATGAAATCCCTGGAAAGACATCTGTGACTATATCAACACGGAGAATTCAATAAAGATGAGGCTACACATCGCAATACAAACTCCAAAAGTCCAAATACACAAGAAGGACGACTTCATGTGATAATAAGCTCATCCTCCGTCGTACTTCTGGAACGCGAAATTGTCGTACTTGCGGTCGTGCTTGGGACATGAATAAAAAATATATAAATCATTGATAAATATTATACATAATGAAAAAATAATCCTATCAAATCATATGTAATATTTATCATCTATACGATTTGGTAATAATGAATTGGGACACAATGAAAAATAATAATCCTAACAATATATAAATACAAATCATCAATACGTTGGTAATAATAAATTGGGACATAATGAAAAAACTAATAACAAATAGATGAATACTAATAATTAATACGAGTTGGTAATAATAAATTGGAACATAATGAAAAAAATAATAATCCTAACAAATCACAGATAAATACAAATCATCAATACGAGTTGGTAATAATAAATTGGTACATGAAGAAAAACTAATAACAAATCATTGATACATACTAATCATCAATAAAAGTTGGTAATAAACTATGGTAACTTAGGCAACTAATATTAGAGAATGTGATCATAGTCATAGTTATAATTATGAAAATTGACACTGGTAACTAAAGTAAATATTTAATGGTGATTATAATACACTGTAGAAATTCTATTGATAGTCCGATAAGTGAGCAGGTTCATAACTTGAATTTCCACACTTTGATAAGACAAGTGTGACATGAAAACACCGAAGATTAAGATAGGGAGAGTTTGATAAATAAAGTAACAGTGAGTAACAATAATTTTCATGCTTTATCTGTAGATCTACAGTATACTTGTTTTTGGAGACACCATTTATACCGAATGAGAGGTGACCCGAACTTGACCCGGATACACATGCACCTTTTATATTCCTTCTCTCTCCCTCTCCCTTCCTCTTCCCCCTCCCCCTCTCTCTTCCTCTCCCCTCCCCCTCTCTCTTTCTCTCCTCTCTCTTCTTTCTTTATCCTATGCTCTCAATCTCAATCTCCTTTCTTTCTCCTCTCTCTCTCTCTCTCTCTCTCTCTCTCTCTCTCCTCTCTCTCTCTCTCCCCCCTCTCTCTCTCTCTCTCACTCTCCTCTTTCTTCTCTCTCTCCTCGCTTTCCTCTCTCTCTCTCTCTCCCCTTTCTCTCTCTCTCTCCTCGCTCTCTCTCTCTCTCCTCGCTCTCTCTTTCTCTCTCTCCTGGATTTCTCTCTTTCTCTCTCTCCTCTCTCTATGCACACACACACAAAGATATACACAAGAATCACAGTGGGACGCTGAGGGATTAAATGATAACACACAATACAGTTTTAACTTCAACTCTAAACTCATGACTTGCACATTTGAAATGAAAATAAACCACCCGACTATTGCAAAGGATAATACAGAGAACATTAAGAGAAGAAGAGAGAATTATAACCGGATAGAGCAAGAGGCGAAGAAAATATGGAAAATACAGCAATAACTCGAAAATTGCGCTGGCGGTTATAAGCGCAAGCAACTGATATACGTACTGAAGGCATTCGAGGACGAGAGTTGCAAAAAAACAAAAAAACAAGGAGAAGGCATCACGCGCTCCGCACTTTCCGTAATCCAGCAACTCATTACTGAACCACGTGACTCGGGTGCGGTCGTGTTTTTCGCATTTATATCTCTTCTATCTTCCGAATACTAAGTCACGCACAAGTCAGAGAACGTGTGTGTGTGTTCCTCACACAAGAACGGGGTGGACTCCGCCAGGGAAGGAAGTGAGCGATTCACATTTCTCAAACGTTACAGCACATCCGCATGTGAGCGAGTGTTGCCTATTATGTGTTTGTGTCGCCTGTTTTCTGTCACGTGTTATATAGTATGGTTATTTATGCTTGCACACACACACACACACACACACACGCACAGCACACGCACACCACACGCCACACGCACACGCACACGCACACACACACACACACACACACACACACCACACACACACAAAGGTAGCATAAATTATCATAAATTACAATCAAGAATCAAGTCCATAATATTGGTTCATGTTCATGAATCATCTTTGAGTGTTAAATATATGAATTCTTAGTTTTATGGTTTACTATATCTTATCTTGCAAGTGTTACTAGCGCTACATCGTATTGTAATCGCATGTTTGTATTTTCAGAAGAAAATAAATTACAAGCATGCCTTGCTTTAAAACCAAGATTGTTCAGACGATCGTAGCGCATTTTACCAGCGGGCTTTTACAATTGTGTTTACCAGTGATGTTAAAGTAGGATTAGCGAAAAGATGGTAACTCGCATCGGCAGTTACAATCGTTAAATCGATTCATTCTAATGGTAGCCAACAGAGGGCTCTAGTAGCGATTTCACCAATCAGTGTGCGTCATACAAAATCTAGGTTCCTTCGGCCAATCACGTAACATGTAAATAGAACTCGACACAGGGTCAAAAAAAAAAAAAAAAATCTTTGTCACAGCTATAACACATATGTAGATAAAATTAAAATATTTAATTATATCCATCATGTGATATGTTTATAGACTTCCCTGGCTATTTATTGTTTAATTAGGAACCAATTCTATTTGTAATATTAATATATCATTGTTTACCACAGACCAAGGAAACAATCCAAACAGTTTTTAACTTATCATTGTTTAAAGAACCGGTCAAAAAAAAAAAAAAAAAAAAAAAATATATATATATATTATATATATATATATATATATATATATATATATATATATATATTATATTATCATCGCCATCTATCGTCAAATAAAGGAAATATTTCAAGCTCATTCTTGCCCATGCGGTTTGGAGTTTGTTTATCCTTTGCCAAAATGTTGACAGACACAGAATTTGCGATACTCGTTTAACATTGTATTGTCAGTTTATAAATTAGCAATATAGTTTTTATAGATTTGCAATGATTATGTGAGAAAAATATGTTTTTAGAGGTCACGTATCCATTTTTCTATGCACTCTATAGTCTATATAGGCCTATGTCTCCCTATACTTTTACTAGAATTTGTGTTGTTTTATTCTTACTAGTTTCGTGTGAAATTCGCCATTTCCATATTGTGATCTGTGTTTACCATCATTCTAATTATATCAGGTATAAAAACAAAAAAACGTTGCTTAAATATTGATTTTTCGATGGGATAACACGTGCGTGATGTCTTCCCAGAAGTTACCAGCGGACATATCAGTTTTCGACCACTGTAAAATTTACCATGGAAACCCCAATGGCAAATTGATAGTGAATACCACCGCTTTCTGTTTACCATGGGAACTATAGTTACCACTGATTTTACCATAGTAGGTATGTTAAGGAATAAATCGTAGACCAATAGCATTGTGACGGTTCATTTTAGCCTTTCAAAATAGTAAAGAACCTAAGGCTTGGACATTTACTTGCAGTCATTACTTAAATAAATTAAAGTCAAAAGGAAAAGTAAAGAAGGGAAACAGAAACGGAAATAAAGAAGTGATTAAACACATCCAACGCCAGGCTTCTCCTGGGCCTTCTTCTGTCGCTCAGGTAGAAGGGGCACTGGTAAACTAGCATTTGTCAGTCTATTGGGCACAAAGATATTTGACTTGATCGTTTGAAGTTTCTGAGGGATTTTTGCCCCAATGAAGCTGTTGGCTCTAGAAATAGACTATAGCCTACCTCTTTACTGTGATCCCACACTTATTGTAGACTAAGAAAGTTAAAGACAATTTTTTTTTTATGAGTACGATAACGACATATATCATAACCCTGATCATATAAGAAATGTCTTTTTAGAAAAGTGCAGGACATGATTATAGAAAATATGAGTTTTTTCTTATTTCGCTTTCTTTTTTTTTCTTTTTATGTTTCACTAGGCTAAGGTTTTGCTGCTATATTTGCCGTCATTAGTGGAACCAGACTCACTGGCTTTTTTCTAATTTAAGGTTAGACTTGGCATCAGAGTCTATCACGTTTATACTACATTATAAAAAAAACTTTTCTTGAGTTTTTGTGTCGATATGTAGTGAATCTAAAGACCTTGGTATTTTCACTGTCCATCTAATATGTAATAGTGAGATAGTACTGGTCATAAACTATATGCACAGGGTGAAACGTTACTCGTAAATTTTATACGTGCAGCACGGTCAGCCTTCAGCCTTGAAAAATCCGTTGTTAGCCATAGGCCTTCCCCAGCACGCAAGCCCAGTGTGGATTGGTAAGGGAGAATGTGGTCAGCGTCTAGAATCTCTGACTCAACCTTTTCGACATCGTTTATCGTGTTAGGCATAGCTTGAGTCATCTTCGATCACCGTTGGCTTGGTCCAACATCCCCGTGTACATTTTTGTGCCTGTCAAATATCTGCATAACTGTTTGCGCCTGATTTGCAGTGTTTCATTAACAAAAAAGAAAAATCGTTCGTTTGTTGAAGGGAGAAGTTCTAATATTGTATTATGAATAAATTTTTAATCCTGTTATTAGTACTACTCATCACCTTTCAGGTAATACTAATCTGTTCACTGTCTTTGATAATAATCATCCTTATTAATTTCATAATAAATCTAATTGTAAGTACATTATATAGTCTGTCTTGAATTTTGCGAGTACATTCATTGTATTTTGTAAATAGTACCTTTTTCTTCTACACTTACATTTCTTTTTTATAGATTAAGACCAATTTTCTTACAAAATCATTGCGGTTTGCAGAAGATCTTGAGTCCGGGAAAAATACCTAAGCTTAAAATTTATGTATATATAATGGACGAACACCTGTAAAAGACAGTTAATAAATGATCTCATAAGCTCGACGTCGCTGCAGACTACCAGTAAAACCTATTTACAATTACGGTAGGCCAAAAAAATCATGCCTATACGTGAGTGCGAGTCATATTCGATACAAGGTTTATATTAGTACTTATATAGACCTTGATTCGATAATCCTGTAAGTGGATCGTGTGTTCTGGCCGTCTTTATCGTAAGTAGGAACGAGACGGACTTGTGTGTGAAGTAGATCCTGCTTTTGTATCGAATCGTTGTGTTCAGTGAAGGTTTATCTTTCACTTTGCTTTTCCAGTTTGTTTCTTTTTGTTGCAT